CCAAGCCCGGCGGGAGGGGTCCTCAGAACCGGGGTGGGGAGCGGCCGGAAGCACTCCGCTGTGCTCGGGGGAAGCTGCGCTGCTGCAGGGATCCCTAGAGCGTGTTCCGTAGGAGCCGTACACCGTAGCTGAGCCTCCGGCGTTTTCTGTTTGGCTTTGTTGTCATCTATGGCAGCAGCCTTGCAGCCTGTGTACTTGTACCGGCTGTTTCAGAAGGCATCTAGGATTTGAAGTGAGTGTGCCTTAAAGCGCACTCCGCTGTGCTCGGGGGAAGCTGCGCTGCTGCAGGGATCCCTAGAGCGTGTTCCGTAGGAGCCGTACACCGTAGCTGAGCCTCCGGCGTTTTCTGTTTGGCTTTGTTGTCATCTATGGCAGCAGCCTTGCAGCCTGTGTACTTGTACCGGCTGTTTCAGAAGGCATCTAGGATTTGAAGTGAGTGTGCCTTAAAGCAAGTGAGCTTGGGTGTAGTTGTCGTAACAGATGATGTAGGGTTATGTTCCATACTCTTGTCACAGATCTTTAAGATGCCTGCGTCTTGGTTTTTTTTGCCTTTTAGGACAAAGTTGGAAATTCTGTACCTATCGTATTAGTGTAATTGTATAATAGCATGCTCAGAAGACCTGTTTATTTTATTACCGCCTCTGAATGTGTGTAGCTATGTGATTACTTATAATCTGAAAATAAGACAGTATGTTGAGTATAGTTGTATGCTGATAAACATTTTAATTACTGTGTCAGTTTTAAGGCAAGAACTTGTTAGTAAGGTTTTTTTATACCTGATGAAGCGAACATGCAAATATTTTAAAATACGAACTATTCAACAGAACTCTTGTTGACAGTTTCCGGGAGCTTTCATTCCTCTGTTGAATTTTTTTTACTTCATCTGGAGATTGACGCACCCTTAAATCAGGGTTAATGTAGTAATTATTTGCCTTGGTGATTTTGTTTATTCTTTGTATGGCTTGCTAGTTAAGCAGAGAGCTGCTGTATTACAGTGATGATGGTATGCACGTTACCGACATGTGCGTGTTGCCCGTAGAGGCTTTTAATGTTTGTCAAGTAACAGCATGCATTTGGGTTACAGCTCTTGCAGCTCTCTGGTCAGTAGAGGTCTTTCAGAGACATTAAGCAAAGCTTAGAATATGCTTGTGATGCTGTCATTCAGTTTTAAAATTGGTCTGTGAAATACTTCGAATGCCTGAATTTGAATTTTAAAGTTTGTTTTATAACTGGAAATTATTACTGAAGATTCTTTGTGGCATTGTCACCATAGAAATTGAGAGGGGTGTGGAGGAGACAAAGGTGGAGGAGTCACGCCTCCTTGTGAGAGGAGGTTGTATGTTGCCTCTGTTGGAAGGTTTTCATGATATCGCAAGGCTGCAGATCTTATAAGCTAAATATTATGTTTAAGTGGAAGGCTGTTGTAGTACTTCGTTATATGAAATTTGAGATTTTTGTGTAGAATATTTCTACGGCTAAATGTCATGGCTCTTCCCCCAAACCATTTTAGAGGAGTGGCAGATGAGTCTGTAGTGTTCCATTGGTGGCCTGCTGTACCCACTTCTCTTTAAGACAGAGGTAGAGAGGTCTGAATAGCATGTCTTAGCATGATCATGATAGAATTTGCTTAGTAAAAACCTGTACTCTTTAGAAGCTTAAATCTGTGGAGATTAAAACATCAGCTGTTCCTTTAAATTAAATTTAGATTGTCTGAAGTTTGGTATCTATGTGTAATATAGGTAAAAAGGAGGTACATAGAATCATAGGTTGGAAGAGACCTCTAAGATCATCAAGTCCAACCATCCACCCAACACCACCATGACTACTAAACCATATCCTGAAGTTCCTACATAGCCTTTGATTCAAGACCCTATTTTAATAAATTTATGAAGAGGTCTTTTGTCCAGAGAGACTTAATGTATACCTTATGTAGCTTAGTTCCTGGGTAATCAAGGTACTAAAATCAAGCCATTTCTATTACTTCGGTAGTTTTCAAATTGCTGTCTGCGTTCACTCTCTGCTATAGTCAGGTTGGTATAAAGCTTTCTAGACAGATGACTAAACTTTTGAGCTGTAGTCTTCCAAGTGTGAGTTTTATGTGAATTTGTTGTCAACATTCCTTGTTATTTGTAACAATAACAAGGATTGTGTTAGAGGTGTTAGTGTCCAGCCAGTTTTTCGACTTCTACTGGTTAACTGAAAAGGTATTGCAGCCTTTATACGGCTGGGCAGCAACACATTTTTTTACTGCTAGCATGTGGCAGGTGGGCAACTGAAATAGATTAGTAGTTATAGTGTGTCAAAAAGGAGCTTAGTTTCACCTGTTCCTGGGCGTTTTATGTCAGATTTTACTGAAGCCTTATGATTGTGCAAAGAAATATAGAATGACACTTTCTGCTTTTTGATAGTTATAGATATCTTCCACTATGGGACAGTTATTTCCCTGGAGAAATCTAGGGTTCTGTGTCTGTAGGGGAACTTAACCTTTGCTTGTTTTTGCTTTCTAAGCAGGGTTGGTCTGGAATAATGTAGAAATATTTTTTTAAAACATTTATGAAATATCTTGGAAAAATAAGTGTTCTTGAAATGTGTATGTCTAAGATGGGAGATGACTGTTTGGATTAAAAACTGAGTATTTTGATTTTTTCATATTCATTTGTTAATTATGACTTTAACTTTATGGCCTCTGACTATTATAAAAATTTGGCTACAACTGAAGAACTGAGATCTCATGAAAAATTCATAAGCTTCGTAAATTACCTTCAACTGCTCATTCTTCAGCTTTATGGATATGATAACAGATAAGAGTAAACTTTCAATCTTGCATTTTTTTCTTTTCTAAGATGCTGCAGAATCCCTATAGGAACAGTGGAATAAATGTTCTCTGGTGCATTGCTTCCTAAAACCGCACACTTCTCGCAGACATGCAAAGCTTGCCTTACAGCAAGGGAAGGACTGCTGCAGTGCAGTTGGAGAGATGGGGTTGCGTGTGCTGAGGCACAGAAGTAGAGCTTTGTATGTTAGGTTGATTTGTAGATGCCTGCAGAGCAGTTACAGGGCTCTGAGGATTAGAGTTTGTGAAGAACTACTCAAGTATTAATTTGTAATTTTTAATTTTTTTTTTGCAAAGGGTACTGCCCGCAGAAAGAAGAAGGTGGTTCACAGAACAGCTACAGCAGATGACAAGAAACTTCAGTTTTCTTTGAAGAAACTAGGAGTCAACAATATTTCTGGAATTGAAGAGGTAATTACTTCAAAGGAAAAAATACTTTTCTGTGTAGAAATAGAAAATGTATCAAAATCAGTTTCTCGGTAAGTAACATCCTAAACTTGTCTGTAAATTGTCAGTAGGTCTTTTTTGAGCTTTAAGAGCTTCAGTTTCCTGTTAAATTGAAAATCTTGCTAAAGGGCTTCATTTTTTTTTTTTTTAATTGCAGGTAAACATGTTTACCAATCAAGGAACAGTCATTCACTTCAATAACCCCAAAGTTCAGGCATCTCTGGCTGCTAACACTTTCACTATCACCGGCCATGCTGAGACAAAGCAGCTGACAGAAATGCTTCCTAGCATTTTAAATCAGCTTGGAGCTGACAGTCTGACCAGCCTGAGGAGATTGGCAGAAGCTCTACCCAAGCAATGTAAGTTGAAAATTGAATGCATTTCATGCTGGCAGCTGACATGAGGGTTATTTGTATAGCAGCAGTGAAATTCAGTGCACTCTTGCTGTCGGCAAGCATATTATAAAATGTCTGTAAAGAAATGGAACTTTTAGATCTTATTTAAAGCTCAAATCCAATGATGAGTATAACTGAAGAAAGCAGAGGCATCTGGCACCGTATCTTGCAGCTGATCTAGAGCTGGAAGGCTGTAGCCAGACTTGATTTCATGGTAGTTTACCACTTGATGTAGCTACCATATTTTGACATACCTTGTTCATTAGAGCTAGGCAGTGAGTTACTCTGGAAGAGTTAGGTTTTAGAAAAAGATAAACTTTGACTATGTCTGGTTTGACACTTTAAATGGAAACATAACTAATGGGGAAAGGGAATTGAAGACAGACATCTCATAGCTGTTTTGCTGCCTTGTGGGTGTGGTGAAGGTATTTCTTGCATGGGCTTTTTGGTAGCTAGGAGGGAATTACCCAGTATTTTTAAGGAAGTATGTTGTAAGTCCTGTGTGCATAGAACACTGTAGAGAACAGGACTGGCATGAGTGTTAAGCTAGGTACACCAAATTCCTATTCCATCCTTAAATTAGTAAAAGAACGTGAACACTTGTTCTTCCTAAAACTGTGTTGGAAAAGTAGAGGAGGGGGTGAAGTACATGGTTTTTTGAAAAGGTGCTACTGCTGCAGGGTGAGAATTGGGAGTGAAAAACAGGCTTGTTGACACTGCGAATGTTCCTCATGTCCTGCATGTACAGTCTTCCTACTTTTCTGAAATCTTGTAAGCCCATTGCTTCCAAGGTATGAAACATCCTAAATACAGAGAAAATGGGAGAAGTGTATCATTATGTCCAGTTTCTAGTAGTTCTGAACTTGGTTGCTACATTTTTTTCTTCCTGTGCTTTGCTGCCAACAAGACAGCCTCTATTTCTGTTCCTAAAGCTGGTGATGCTTCCCTCCTGTGAGCTTCCCACTGAAAAAATCCTGCTAGGAGTAGTCTTCAGGAGGTGGGATAAACTGCTGCTTTCCCTGTGGAGCTCAGGTCCTTCCTTCCTGATGTTACCTGTGCAGCTTCTGTGGGATAGTAGTAGGGTTTGAAAGAAAAAAACCTGAAGTATTTCAAATGACCCCTGAAGATCTGTCTTCTCATAACAAGGTGGATATATCCTGGATAAGCAAAACTGTGCAGTTTTGGTATTAGGGAAACTCATTTAAAGAGCTTGCTTTGTATGACCTAGTAAATGGCTATTCCTTCGCCCTTTGGGTGGATGCCAGAGTAGTTGCGCAACACTTTCCATTCAGCGTTGTCTGGTAGATTTGGAAGCCTGACAGGGAGGAGTGGAGTGTCTGTGATGATTGCATTTGCAGGTGCTAAAGTAAACTTAGTCTGGTCTTGGGGATGAGAGAGAATGCAGGCAATTTAGGAGGAAATAACATGGTTTGCTTTTAAAATGTTGTATTTGACACTGAGGTGAACTTAATCTGTAACAGCTTTCTGCTGTTAAAAAACAAAAGCAGGGTTAGCGGTGACCTTGCCCCAAGCCCTTTCACACCAAAGTTTATGCATTCACCTGTTTTGGTTCTCTGTAAATCAGGGTACAGGTCTAGTATGAACCTATCTCTTTCCTCATGCTTTTCTTGAAAACTGAGAAGGATTAATTAGGATAAAATGGAGGCGACAGAGTGTGAGATGGCTTACCCTTGGTAGTACAGCTAAGAATAGCGGTAAAAGTAGTGGCACAGGTACTCAGGGACCTGAGCTCTCTATTCTAACATTATACTGCTGCAGTTTCACAGATGTTCATTGGTCTGCCACAATGGACATGGTTAAGTCTCACTAGCTCTGGCAAATACAGTGGGAATGATTAGGAAATCACCGAGCTGGCAGAGATGCGGACGAGAACACATGGTTACTTCAGTCAGCTAAGTTTAAAATTGTGCATCCAGTTCCATATTCCTCTTGACTTTGCCAGGGAGCAATAATATCTTTAAGCGCCTCTAGTCATATGTGGCTGCTTGCAGCTTCACAATTACATCTTAGTTCTCATGAAGGCCTAGAATCCTTACATTCTTTCTTTTCCTTATAACTTGCTGGTGTAAAATACGTAAATCTCAAGAAACACTGCGTAGTCAGTAAACCAAGCTGTTTTTAAGGGGAATTGGTAGAACAAGTCTCTGCACTTGTAGCTGAAAATGGTTACCATCCAAGGCACTCAGTATACCTAGATACAAGATGGTGACTAGTAAACTGGTTTAGCATGCATATTCTCAGTTTCTTGCTGGGCTGTCTGAGCGTTATCATTAACAAAGGGAATGTGAGCTTCCTCTGTTATCTGAAGATTTTTATTCAGCAGGGGAACTGGATAAAGCATTGCAGTTTAGCTCAGATTGCTAATGTTTTCAAAAAAACACAAAGCAAAGCAGCTGATCAAGATGCCTTTGGGGAACTTGACTGATGCTTTTGAACTACTTGTTCTTGCAGCTGTGGATGGAAAAGCACCACTTGCTACTGGTGAAGATGATGATGATGAAGTTCCAGGTAAGAACAAGTATGCAGTGGAGGAAACGGACATGAGCTTTGCTGAGACATAACATATGTAGCATAAGATTGGTCCAAGGATGGTAAGCGTATTGTCTAGTCACCCGCTGTCACAGAATTTTTGCAGCAGGTTACTTCGTTGTTTTTAGACACCATGAGAGATGCAGGTGGACTGTTGGTTCGAGCTAGCATTTTTGTCCTGTGTGGAAGAAGTAGCTATGGCTAAGGGAATTATCTGATATTCAGTAAGAAGGGTGGGAAGAAATTACCTTCTCACTGTCACTTTGCCCAGGTGTGGGTATAGTGAAGTTAAATGCTCTTAGAATTGTGCTTTATGATGAACCATCCAAAACTTGCTTGGCTGAACAAGAAGAATGAACCGTAAAGCTCTTAGATGTTATTTGGTCTGTATTTTATAAGCTGAAAGTTTTTTATGTTGTGATCACTTGATATGAAGTAAAACTGTTTGGGGGGCGGGAGGGGGAACAAACGCAGAATGTTTGGCAAAGAGGAAGTGTGTCAGACTTTAATTTCAACGTTCTTTTTCTAGATCTCGTTGAAAACTTTGATGAAGCTTCGAAGAATGAGGCAAACTGAACGAAGTACCACTTTCTGAATAAAATTAAAACTTGAAAAAGCTACATGGAGCTGCTATTTTATATTGTGACTGCTTTGATTTTGTTTTTTATTTCTTGATATTTGGAAACTCCTTGAACCTGCAGCTCTTTAGTTATTGCTTGTACACAATATTATTTTTGTGGCCTGATTGAACAAATCTATGCTGTGAAATAAGTCAGATTGCTAACGAATCTCTGCCTAGAAACAATTTTTGAGTAACTTGTATACAAGCAAAATCCCATCTTAATGAACTTTGGCATACAATAAAAATATAACATAAACTTTCTGGTGTGGCTTCTTGTCAGAAAAGCAGGGGAAAAAAATTTGCCTTAAATACTAAACGATCTTAAAAGGTCTTGCTTTTCTGCAGAGCATCTTCCTTTTGTTGGGTTAGAAAACTGTCATAAATTTTTTTTCTGTGCATAATGGAGCATTTTAGGCTTAATCGATGAATTCCCAGTGTTTGCAGGTCAGAGCTACATACGCTGCAAGTCACTTTGTAAACTCTATTTAAGAAACAGACCCGTATTCTAGAAATAATTATTGGTGGTTTAATATAATGTACAATGTGCAAGTTGAGAGAGAACTTTGCTTGGCCTTGGAAGAACAGTGTCAAGCTGTTCACATTTTGGGGGAACTAGATAGTAATGTTAAATTCTTATCTTTAGGGACTGTTGAATATGTACTTCTAGGGTGTAACTGTTTGAGTCAGATAATACTTTCCCTGTCTTACAGTCTTACTTCTTTGAAAAGGTCAGTTATGTGGGAGAGTGAAGTACAGGAAGGGGAGAAAGCCTTAATAGAATTGATAATGGCTTTGAAGTCTGTATTTAACATCTTCAGATCTATTAACAAATAATTATATTTGGACGTTCCAGGAATATGTTCTTTGTTATTGCTTTTGTGTGTTCCAGAGAGAAAGAGGACTTGTCTTTTGGGCACAAGGAAGACTTCTTAAATTCGAGTCTGATGTTTGCATGGGTGGAGCTTCCAGGGGTGAGAGCTAAACTTCGTGTTTGGGAGTCTTTGGTGTTAATGATACATCAGATCGCTTCCATAACAGATGCTAAACTAGGATAGACGAACACTCTGCTACCAGCCTGCTAAGGTGGTCTCTAGAGCAGGTACTTCTGGAAGTGGAAATTCGTCCTGACTTGTGCAGGATAAAATTCAGGGTAAAACTTTGCTATAGCCATAACATAAAAGTTCTGCTTGTGCCTGGGAAAAGGTGGGGCTGTGTCTGACTTGCTAGGCATGCTTGTCGTGGTGTAAGTCATTGATGTTGGGAAACAGTGGAGGAACTTGTTCAAGCCGTGTAGCTTCTGTGGTCTGAGGTAAGACAGCAGTCTGGTGTGAATGTGACATGGCTGAAGTCAGGTGCAAGAACTTAAAGTAACAGTTCCAGTTTACTTGTCTTAGTTGGTGAGTACTTTATCAGTAAATTACACTTCTAGCATTGAATTAATTCAAATGAAAAAGTGCATTCACTGAATTGTGGCAATAAGGCAGAAAAACTGAACTATGCAATTTTGAGTTTTGAAATGGGGATTGTGACTTTAGGCTAATTGCCCTGTAAAAGGTGAAAGCCAGATTCTACAGTGCTGTCTACCACACTTCCTGTGACCTGTCAAGTCATTAAATGCATGCTGATTTTTTTTTTTTTGAGAAATCGATAAATGTGTTGCCCATTCTGTGATTCAAGTATTTTAGTACTCAGAAACACTTTAAGCCTCTGTAGCCCTTGCTTCTGAAATGTTTCATACTGGTTTCTGTCTCATGAAGTGACTTGGTTCTTGCTTAGATCATCTAGGCAGTATTAGCCGTTTCCCCACGAACAGACGTACCCAGTGCTTAAAAAATAAGATACTTGCCAAAATGCTGCCTTTGAAATGCAAAATAATGCTAATCTGTGATAAACAGCCATGTGACATGCCTATGGAAGTCTGTGTGCTAGGTATGCTCCCAGTCAGGAAATTCTGGCTTATCTCTGCATCTCCAGACTGTGACTGAGGATCCAGATACCATCAAAATGTGTTATAGCAGATTCTAAGTGGAAGGAGTTGGAAGTTCCAACTTCTTTTTGGAAGTTCATAGTAGGCCTCATGTCTAACACTTGAATGCTCAGTCCTGGACTCAACGCTGTCATTATTTTCTCTTAGTAAGGAGTTAGGTTATGGTCCTTCCTAGCCTGTCATTGACTGATAGAAACTGAAAATAGTTTTGTTGATGTTTCTAATTAGTTTGAACTTCTATGTGACCATACTGTGATTATGCCATTACAGATTAGCATCTGTAGTCTTGCTCAAGGAAAATAGCTTCGTATCTTCATTCCAAATATCTTGGACAATGGAGAAACAAAAAGAGTTGCCTGCATTTCTATTGAAACAAAGGTTTTATTTTTAAAAAGTGAAGAGAACGTTCTGGTTCTGTCACATGAGGCTTTGTAACTTGATTTGCAGCTTGATTTCCAGTGCAGTAGTGGGTACTAGTGAGATTTTTTTCATCATTTTTGCAACAGATTTTTAGAAATATCTTAATTGTTAATCTCATGCTTGAAGGGCTTTGCTGTGTTTTAAAATTAGTATATTCTAACTAAAAACAAAATCCTTTTGGAAGATGGTGGAACTGTATTTTATTAAGCTAGGGTGTGTGTGTGTATATAAAAATAAAAAGCTCCCTACTATGTTTTTAAAATACCATTGTTTTTAAAGATCAAGAAGGTGTCTTTATTGCAGATTAGATTTCTTTTCTCTGGAAGTGTTGTGAGTTTGAGGTTGTGTCTCTTAGGAAATGTTCCCAGTGAGAATTTCTGATAATTGGTGGTGTATATTTAATGTATGTGACCAAGGAAGATCACTTGAGTTGGTTTAAAACGTTCACAGCTCAGTACCTCAAATACCAAATCAATTATTCTGTACCTTACTGTGCTGATTTGCTGGGGGTGCAGGGCAAGTGCATGTAGTTTCCACTTCTGTGAAATTTTGTGCCAATGATGTGTTCTGTGCATGGAAAATCAGGATAGACATTTCACCTTCCGTAAAGTGGGTTCCTGTGTCTGTGCTGAAAACTCAAATGTCACGTTACAGAACAGATAGACTAACAAAGGACATTTGAAATGAAGACAATAGCTTGCATTTGTTGTCAGAGGCAGTGGAAGAATTAAAAGAAAACAAAGATGTGATCAGAAATGTGGCAAGGAAGAAAGCTTATGTGTGTGTGAACAGTACAGGTGGTGGGAGGTGAGTGGGGAAAGCTGTTACTTTTTTCGAGGGAGGTGGGGAGAGTGACTGAGAAGCCAAGACGTGGAAGCTGTTGGATCGCCCTGTTTGTGAGAACAGATTCGAAGAAGTTACGAAACTAGAGGGTTAATGCTCAGCACAGACGTGCTGCTGGAAAGCCGACAGCGAAGTCTGTGTTGGTGATGACTGGATTCACAGCCTTAAAGGACTGGCAAGATTTGAAGTTATGTTTCTGTCACCTGACACTGGGGGGACAGACAGGTTCTTTTAGGGATCCTTGGCAGAATGGTGATGGCACTAAGTTGTAGTTAGAGTTAAAGTGATTTTTTTTTTTTCTTAACAGGATATTACAATTAGTATAGCATAGAATTTATCACTGTAATTCTGCTTGGAGAAATCCTGTGCCATTCATGTAGTACAATTTGTAAGTGGCATAATACAACTTAAAATTTCTGATCACCTAGATACTAAGTTTCTGATTTTAAATCACCTGGGCCCTCTGCAGATCGGGTTGGATCTTAATGCATGCTTTGCTGTATCGAAGTAGCAATTGTAACCTAGACTCAAAAATCACAGAAATGCATACGAGTCACTCCCTCAGTCCTCGGAGGAAGCAGAGGATGGTGGAGGCATCCCTGGCCACCGTGGGGTCCTGGTGTCACTGTCCTGCAGCAGTTCTGGGCCACCACGTTCCGCCTTAGGGCTTGTAGCTGCGTGGTTTGATGGACATCACTCTGGGTGCTGTTACGCTTCCCTGCTCTGTGGCGGGGCCATCAACCACACCGGGCTGGCCGGGCGCCTGGGACCTTCAGGGCCAGCAAGGAGGGGAGTAATGGGCCTGGTACCCCGGAACCTGAAGACAGTGGGGAGGGGAAGAAGAGATCTGTTTGGTTTGCCTACTTTGTGCCAGGGACCTTCAGGGCCTGATAATAAGGGGGAAGGGAACGAATACGCAGCCTACTCGGTCCCAGAGAACGGCTGCTTGCCTTATAAAATGGTGTTAGTTATGCCAGCCACGGTACCAGGGGTGAGGAGCAGGGAGTACCGGTCACAGTTCCTTGAAGAATGGCTTTACAGACAGCACCTGAACTTCTTTTAATGACATATTAACAATCTATCTATGGTTATTCTTTACTGTCATCTTTGGTTCACTTTCTCAGCCATTGACTGTGAGAAAGAAGAATTTCTCTGAGCAATTACAAAGTAGATGTGTAAAATTTTTTCTCCTTGGTGGAATTATTTCACATCTATATTACCGCCCTCGGAACACAGCTGCTTTGCTTCTTTAGATTTCTTTTACCTCCCTACCAAACAGACAACGCTTGTCTGTCTTGCACTGTAAGATTTCTAAGCTTTTGCAACCAGTAGTAGCTGTAAATGAAGGTTAATTCTGACAGATGTTGCACCCACTGCATTGCTGACCGGAGCTCATTTGTTAAATAGACCAGAATACCCTGCAAAGTCAAACGTGAACGAATGAGACAAAGACTTTGTGCAGCTCTGCAGCATTTGGCTGTTATTACTACACGAAACTGTGCTAGGAAACCTGCTTCATGAGGCAGAGTTCAGGACGTCTGTGATTATATGCTGCACACTGAATTTGGCAAAAATGATTTTGTTAATCAGGAAAAGCAACTTGTTTGCTAACACTCTGAAATACAGTATGCTGTCGTTCAAGTTCGAATGTAAAATATTGTCTTAAGGTTCCTGTGGGAAATTACATTGGCAAGAGCTTTTGGTAAAAGGTTTGGGGAGAATCAGCTTGGAGTTGAGATTCCGATTGCAGAATTTTCAGACGACTCCGGTCTCACAGCGTGCTGTGGCCAGGAAACTGCTGCCTTCAGGCCCGTGGGTGTGGTTCCAAGGTAGCTCCTGGTGTCTTTTCCCCGGGTCTTCTCCATGCTGTCAGAGGCTACAGAAACCCTTCGCCAAAACAAAACCAGCAGGCTGACATTTCAAAACGCTTATCAGTGCTGAATCGGGGGCTGTTAAATCCTTCCCACCATAAACAAAGCAAACTGAATGCTGAGAAGTATTTACACCAAGAGAAACAAAATTTCATCGTTGTGCCTCAGAGAAGCACGGAGCGTGTGGAGTGAAGCATGCTATTAGTATTGCATAATCAGTTGTCTGTGCTTTCTTGACAGTGATTTTTTTTCCAGTGAGCAAAGCTTTTTATTTGCATACATTTCCTCCCCAGAAACCCTTCGCCAAAACAAAACCAGCAGGCTGACATTTCAAAACGCTTATCAGTGCTGAATCGGGGGCTGTTAAATCCTTCCCACCATAAACAAAGCAAACTGAATGCTGAGAAGTATTTACACCAAGAGAAACAAAATTTCATCGTTGTGCCTCAGAGAAGCACGGAGCGTGTGGAGTGAAGCATGCTATTAGTATTGCATAATCAGTTGTCTGTGCTTTCTTGACAGTGATTTTTTTTCCAGTGAGCAAAGCTTTTTATTTGCATAGATTTGCCCCCCCCCCAGTTTGCTAACTCTTAATTTTTTCCTCTGGGTGTCTGAATCATAGCTTACGAAATATTGCTGGCTGCTCCATGCAGGGCCCGCACAGGAGACACAGAAAACTTCAGTTCCGTGTTCACTGCCTTAGCAGCATAATGTTAAGCTGCAGAAAGGGCTCATAATGCAGGAAACAGCTTCTGGAAGATGACCATCTTCACCTTTGTACTCACTTTTGGCGGATGTGTGGTGATGATTGTGGCAATTGCTTGAAATTCTACAGCAAAAAAGAGGGAAGACATTTTTTGTTTTGCTGTCTTAATCTACATTCCCCTCTATCTTCCCATATGATTAAAAAAAATGCATTTTCTAGGATACATTTCCAGGAAATAGTTAAGAATTAATCAGTTTATTTCACAGAATCACATAATGGTAGCGGTTGGAAGGGACCTCTGTGGATCATCTAGTCCAACCCTCCTGCCGAAGCAGCTGCACAGGACCTTGTCCAGGTGGGTCTTGAATATCTCCAGAGAAGGAGACTCCACAACCTCCCTGGGCAGCCTGTGCCAGTGTTCCGTCACCCTCAGAGGGAAGAAATTCTTCCTCATGTTCAGACGGAACTTCCTGTGCTTCAGTTTG